TGAACAGAAGATCTATTTAACCTTTCTCACTACTACATCTTTTTTCGTCCTTTCTCATCTTTCCCTCCTTTTTCCAAATTTGGATCTATAATCCTTTGAGTCACAACTCCAGCTTTATTTAGTAATCCTTCCGTTTTCACACATCTCCAAGTACTGTACAGTATTTGGAAATATTTTCTTTCTACTCAAAAATAAAATATGAATAAAGGTTTACAGCTTTGTGAAACTTTTTTTGAGTTTATGCCATTGAAATAAATAAATAATAAAAAATTAAAACATTTGTCGGTTTTGTTTACACGTTTATTGGGCCGCATTGGAACTTGCCTTGGGCCGCATGCGGGCCGCGGGTTGGACACCCCTGGTTTAGATCAAGAACTAAATTAATGCTGGGTGATGATCTGATAAGGCTAAAAATCATGATTTTCATTTTTATAAGATTTATTGAGCTCAGTATCCTTATTGAATAAACTTAGCACCGAATTGTCTAAAATGTATTTAACTCTTAATAAACTTTCTCACTTACCTTTTACAGACTCAGCCAATGTAGTCCGTTCCTATATAATACTTTGATCAAATATATACTTATACATATTTCAATGGCTTACTTCACAATATATTCACATTTGCATCTCATCCATTACAACAAGACAAAAATACTGTATTTACAAACCATTTTGCTGCATGAATGTTACTATTCATTTCTATATCACCACCATAATAAAGCAATCGAAAATCTCAACTTTTATTTAAAGTAATTAGAAGTGAAAATATGTCCAATTTCATTCTTCCCATAGTAGTGCTTTTATACTGTATTTTAGCCGAAAGAGGGCGATTGGCATAAAGTCCGTTCGGTTGGCGTAAGAAGAATGGCGACTGATTGTATACGTGAGCGAAAAGAAAGAACGCCAACTTTCGAAGATCGTATCGTTGAAAGAAATACTGAAATCCTAACGTTACGTACGTCAATATATAAAAACTGACGATAATTATCAGAAATTGAACAGTTTGGACAGGTGGGTATCGATTTTAAAGGGACCCGGTAAGCGATAGAGCAGCATAATTTTTAAGTAGAAGAAAAAAAAAAATCAAAACGGAGAAGTAATTTGCACAATATGTCAGACGATAGTAAACAATCGGAGACAATGAAAGGAGAAGACCAGGAACAAGAAGAAGTAAGTTGGTTATTAAATGCCGGATTTAATCTTATTTTGATTTTATTTAATTTGAACATCGTCTCGTCGTATGTGATAAGTAAATACCTCTTACGGCAGACGTTAAAAATAACGGTTAATGTGAAGATTCGTCGGTTAAGCCTAAATCTAAAAAGTTATTNGCCGAAAGAGGGCGATTGGCATAAAGTCCGTTCGGTTGGCGTAAGAAGAATGGCGACTGATTGTATACATGAGCGAAAAGAAAGAACGCCAACTTTCGAAGATCGTATCGTTGAAAGAAATACATCGAATCCTAACGTTACGCCCCTCAGTGGATAAAAAGTAACAATAATTATCAGAAATTGAACAGTTTGGACAGGTGGGTATCGATTTTAAAGGGACCCGGTAAGCGATAGAGCAGCATAATTTTTAAGTAGAAGAAAAAAAAAAATCAAAACGGAGAAGTAATTTGCACAATATGTCAGACGATAGTAAACAATCGGAGACAATGAAAGGAGAAGACCAGGAACAAGAAGAAGTAAGTTGGTTATTAAATGCCGGATTTAATCTTATTTTGATTTTATTTAATTTGAACATCGTCTCGTCGTATGTGATAAGTAAATACCTCTTACGGCAGACGTTAAAAATAACGGTTAATGTGAAGATTCGTCGGTTAAGCCTAAATCTAAAAAGTTATTTTCTAGTTTTGATCCCCTTTACTTTAAGCAAATGACTCGATTAATTGTAATTCGCTGTCGGATTCAAATTTCGTTTTATGGCACGTCAGCCTTTTGATACCGTTTCCCGACGAAACGATTGTCGTCGTCGTGATTTCAATTTAAGAAATTTGCATTTTAAAAATATGTAAATGCCATGCGTTTTTAAAATAGAAAAAGCCTTGCGCTTTCTATTTTTTGATTTTCTTTGTCTTATTTTCTATGTTAATCAGACCATTGAAATTCGTCGATATTTATAAATAGTTACACTTCTTTTTTAATTTGGAACTTTACATTACAAATAAATTTAAATATATTTATAAAATACTTCATTGTAAATATTTTATTTATTCCATTACGGTGTAATATGTTCTATGTGGTCCCCGAATTCTACAGTTGTTACTCTGATCGTGCGGATGTATTTCAAAAATTGTTTTCGGTTGCCATCGATACAAAAGGTATTTTCTGGCCTTTGAGTTACTTTTAACTTACTAAACTATGGTGACTGGATGTATCAAAGTTTTGATCATTTTTAATATTTCATTGTAGAATCAATTTTTGAATAGAGCAATGTTGTTAACACTCCAATACCCTGTTCTTACTGATTCCAAAATGTGTCGTCGGTTGGATTGTAAATATTACGGTCGGCCAACTAAACTTATTTTATTTTTTGGTCTAAATGTATAATATGCAATTGCTAAATCTGCATTTAGTTTAAGTACTTAGTTACGTAAGGATTGAATGCGGTTGTTATTTAGAAATTGCTTAATTTCAAGCTCTAATAGTTGATGAAATTGTAAGTAGTGAATTGCTCCAAATTTTATATATTTTTTAAAATTTTGGCGAAACTTTCTGCAATTGATAAATCGTGAAAATTTATGTTGTCAAAATGAGAAAGTACCATATCCAGATTTATTCTGTTATTTTAAGTATAAAAATTTTTTTCCTGCTCTTTTTATTTGCTGTGCAAGACGTGATAATGAAAAGGATTATATGTATCTTTAATAGCTAATGATTTCTTATAAATGTTAAGGCATACGTACAATGATGATTATCAATTGATTATATGAAATCAGTTTATGGTGTTATAAAAATATACTAAACACAGAAATTTTACTTAACAAGAAAAAGTTTTACTTTCAAACATTTTTGACAATATCTTCAAGTTTGTCAAATTCAGGCTATGATCTTTTAGAACACTTTTAAATTGAATAATATTTGAAAGTAAAAACCTTTTAAGTTAAGTAAATTGCTGTGTTTAATATTTTTTAACATCATAAAATAATTTAAATAATCAATTGATGATGATGATGATGATTTCTTTTAAATGAATTTAGTCTGATATATTAAGAAAAAAAAAAAATTAGAAAATTTCTATTAATGTGATAATGCCATTATAAATATAGAAATGTAACTTCTATTATCAAAAATTTTAGTAATAATAGATAACAAATATCTAAAATATTGACGTATTTTAAATAAAAGAATTAACAAATTAAGATAATACCTTATTATACTTATAATACCACATGTCAGTTGTATTTATATCATTTCATTCAATTTCACTAGTAAATTTTTCAAAAAAAAGGGAATTTAATGGAATTTTTCAAAATTGACAATTTTTAAGTTAATAAACTGTTAAAATGTATATACATCATTTGATCGCACAGGGGGTCTACAATTTGGGGGGCCTCACCCTCCTCAGGGAACCCTAGAATTGTACTGTTTCCTCTTGCACAAAATCCTTTCACTTTAGTCTTATTTATTTAATAAATCAGTATCAAATTCAAGTCATCACCATGTAAGAAACAAATAAACAATTGAAGAAATTGATAAATTTTTTCTAGTACTTAGTGATTTTATAACCCTGATGTTCTGATAATGTATTGATATCTAATTTCTTGTTTTTAATTTAATAGTTTAATTACTATTATTATATTTATATATATAAAACTTGGGTAATATCTATATACACAGAATATGTTAAGGCAAGAATCTATTTTCAACTCATTAAGGTATTTGCTTATGAATTACATTTATGCTTTATATATTTAAAGCTTATTTAATGTAGATGAGCCATATTACATCAATTTTATTTAAAGTAATTAGAAGTGAAAATATGTCCAATTTCATTCTTCCCATAGTAGTGCTTTTATATCTCATTCTAGCTTTTGAACTTATCTCTATCCAGTATAAAAACTCTTCTGAGAATAACTTGTTAAGTTGATATTCTTTTATTCATTTTCAATTATTTTTAAATTTTGTTATTAATGTATTAATGGAAAGATTATTGTAAATTAAAGTTGTTTGAATCTTTCTAAAGAAACAAAAATCATATAATGAGGGAACATATAGATGTGTGTTTGTTTAATATTAGTCTTCGTTAGAATTAATCAGGGGTAGAATTGAATGTGTGTGTGTGTATATATATAGAATATGCTAAGGCAAAATCTATTTCCAGTTTGTTAAAGTACTAATGTTGTATAGGTGAGAGTCATGCGGTACACCTTAATATTTTTGGCTGTAATAAATGTAAGACTCGGGTAAAAGTGATTTTTACAACAGTAATATTATACCTCAAAGAGTACTTCATAAAGTACAGGGTAAGATTTCTCTAAAATTTTGCCTAAAGTACTAATTATTTCTAAAATAAAAAAAATTGTGAATTGGACAGTGCAAATATTGTCGTTCAGTACCAACCAGTTACTGCTCTAAAAGGTATTAAGATCTTAATGATAATATAAATTGTTTTAGTGATTTTTATTCAAGCAAATAAAAGTACAAAATTCTTTAACAATAGTAGAGTAGTGAACTAATGCACTATAACCAATAGTAATATTTATTCGAAAAAGAGAATACTAGGCAAATTTAGGAACAAATCTTCAAAAGTTTACAATGAATGTCATTGCTTACAATTTTCACAAATAAAATAAAAAATATTTTCTTGATTGGAATATTTGATGTGCTAAACCCTTACATGCAATGCACTGTATCTAGTCTATTGAATGAACTTTTAATCCTGCTCTTGTATCTGCATGTAAAAAAAGTAGTAGTTTTTCCCTTTCTTCATCAAAAGTCCTTTGCAATCTACCTATCTGCAGAACCATATTCTTAATTTCTTATTTTTGCCAACTTGGATTTCTCTCATTTGATCTAAGCCTACTAATTTAGTTTAGATCAGGGGTGTCCAACCTTTTTGTTTCTCTGGGCCGCATTGGAAGAAGTCAAGGAGTTTTGAGCCTCAAGTATATATAATATATACTTGTGGCCCAATATACAAGTATATTTAAGGATTAACATGTTTAGATTATAATAACAAGTATTAAAACTTTATCAAGAAAAAGGATATTTTAAAAAATTACTTCTACAGACACTTTCAATTTTTACTTAGAAATAGATAAATTCATTTATTATAAAAGAGACAAACGAAAATTTATTTGAAAAACACGAATATTTGTTTTATTTGGGTCTCTAATTAATAAAAAGCGACGAAATGCCATTTTAGAGTTCGTTTTTATTCAATTAATATAATTATAAATAATATGTAGCCGAAAAAGCAGCCAAAGCGCCAAATGATATTTTTTACGTCAAACAAAAAAAAGNCATTTTAGAGTGCGTTTTTATTCAATTAATATAATTATAAATAATATGTAGCCGAAAAAGCAGCCAAAGCGCCAAATGATATTTTTTACGTCAAACAAAAAAAAGTAGCCACATTTGGCCCAATGAAGCCAAATCTTGCAACGTTGGAAGAAATACTAAATAAAGCTGGAATAAGTGCCGGAAAAAGAGGCAAAAGACAAAAGAGAAAGAAGTGCAAAAGGTTGAAAAATTACGGTTCCATATTTGCTGAACAGAAGATCTATTTAACCTTTCTCACTACTACATCTTTTTTCGTCCTTTCTCATCTTTCCCTCCTTTTTCCAAATTTGGATCTATAATCCTTTGAGTCACAACTCCAGCTTTATTTAGTAATCCTTCCGTTTTCACACATCTCCAAGTACTGTACAGTATTTGGAAATATTTTCTTTCTACTCAAAAATAAAATATGAATAAAGGTTTACAGCTTTGTGAAACTTTTTTTGAGTTTATGCCATTGAAATAAATAAATAATAAAAAATTAAAACATTTGTCGGTTTTGTTTACACGTTTATTGGGCCGCATTGGAACTTGCCTTGGGCCGCATGCGGGCCGCGGGTTGGACACCCCTGGTTTAGATCAAGAACTAAATTAATGCTGGGTGATGATCTGATAAGGCTAAAAATCATGATTTTCATTTTTATAAGATTTATTGAGCTCAGTATCCTTATTGAATAAACTTAGCACCGAATTGTCTAAAATGTATTTAACTCTTAATAAACTTTCTCACTTACCTTTTACAGACTCAGCCAATGTAGTCCGTTCCTATATAATACTTTGATCAAATATATACTTATACATATTTCAATGGCTTACTTCACAATATATTCACATTTGCATCTCATCCATTACAACAAGACAAAAATACTGTATTTACAAACCATTTTGCTGCATGAATGTTACTATTCATTTCTATATCACCACCATAATAAAGCAATCGAAAATCTCAACGATAAGTTCTATCTGGATCTCTATAAATTTAAAGCCATTTGTAAAAAATACTTTATTATAATTAATGTTTTTAATGTTCATTTATACATTTATATTATTTTTTAATTTGTTCTATGATTTTTAATTGGGTATGTTATTAATTAATTGTTGTACCAGGGGAGGCACTTATTAACTACCACGCATTGTCTTTTTTTCTTTGAAATAATGATTTTGGAGCTGAAAATGTCAAAGCTACCTACAAGACCTTCATCTATTGCCATTTTTATGCCAGCTTTGGTTCATTTTACTTTTCTCATTTTCTGCCATTTCTCTTTAAATTGAGAAAAAAGAAAACAGACCTCTTTTTTTAAAAAATTACTTTTGGTCATTACTACCTGACAGGTAAGTGGTTGGTACTGGATGACTGCCACATGGTAACATTTTGGAGATTGTTTATTGTGTACAGTTTTATATTGTGAAACTAATATGATTTATCTTAATCTAATATCACTATAGACAAAATACATTTTAAAATAAAATTAACTACTCATCCCCAAAGTAGAATTAAAGCTGCGAAAATAACTTTTGATGTGCTAAATATCAACAAAAACTTTCTCTGGCTTGTTCCTACTACCATAACCAAACAAAATAATCCCAAAAGTATATGACCTATGATGATATTCTTCTGTGTATGTCTGTAGAATGCTGCTATCTAGCCCCAGTAGCAAACAAAACTAATAATGGTCAAGACTGTATGACGCTCCCTCTTGAGTATGTCTTTATTTGCTTCGTTATTTTCCCTATTTATTTGTAACTTAATAACAATTTTTTTACATCAGATATTTTGCTGGATACAATTAGTTAAATCAGAATATTCTATTTTAACCCATTAAAGATTAGTAATAAATTTTAATTTGTGATGTATTTACAAGGGCTATTTTCTGAATAAGGTCCATTTGTGAATGAGAGTGAGAATGACGCGCGATTGCAGCAGTGTGCATGAGCATCTGCTTTCAGCATGCTTTGCGCGTGTTTAGATGCCATTTTCAGCCATATCGTCTGTCTGTGTGCTGAGCTGTAGAAGTTTATAATGTTTAAGAAAATTGAGTTGCCTGCCGACTGTAAGATACGATCTGTTATTCGATTTCAGCACGAAAGATCATGGTAACTGTCTTTTGAAACAGGAAAGGGTCTTTGTTAGTGGATTTTATGCAAAAAGACACAATCAATTCTGATGCTTATTGTGACCTTGAGAAAACTCCGCCATGCCATACAAGTTAAGCGGCGTGGTCTAATGTCTTCTGGCAGCAGGCAGCAGATTTCTTTGAAGTTGGAATTAAAAAAATTTTTGAGAGTTATAACAATTGTTTGAACAAAAATGGAAATTATGTAAAAAAGTAGATAAAAGTATGTAGAATATGGGAAAAAATATATTTCAATGATATTTACAGTATTTTTCTTCTTATTAAAAAACAGACCTTATTTAAAAAATAGCCCTCGTACTTGTCATTATATATCTCAAAAAATATTGTTAATATATTATAATGAATATTCTTGTTTATGGTAAATTAATTTAAAAATAAATAATTCTATTAATTTAGAGTTTGGTAACTAAATACTAACATTTCATATAATACAAATATGTAGCTTTCATTAGTACATAAAAAAAATTGTTTCGTCAAACAATTTTAGTGATTGTTATTGAATTTAACTATCAATGAAAGATCATAATTAATTTTTAAATCAAATAATAATGTCAGTTTCTATTGAATGATATATGCTCTGTCATTTAAATTTTATGTTTATTTTCATTAAAAAAAGGACACTAATTATTTATATTATAATTTATATAATGCATTGCTCTAATTATATAAATTGGTTTATGTAATTTATAATGTTAAGAATTGTTTTGAAAAACATCTATAACATATAACATCATTCTACTTTTTCCCTGTCTTTTAAGTATAACAAAAGATTGTGTGTAATTATTGTAAATCTTAATAAAATGATAGTGATATATAACAAACTGGTTACTATATCTCATTTCATTTCAAAATATTATTGTGTAAGCTGATGATGATCCCATAAGGATCAAAAGTACTTGTTCATTAAATTCTTATTGTTGGTGAAAAGGTTTTGTTTCCATCACTTAATAAACTAATCAAATAATTCTGTTTACATTATATTTTAAAATTTAATTTTAGGCTAATCTAAGGAAAGCTGAAAAAGAAGAAGAAGCAAAGCTGAAGGCAAAGTATCCTCAAGTATTAAGGCCTGGAGGATCTTCCTTTTTGCAAAAAAGACTTCATAAAGGAGTAAGATTTTAATGTTTATTTAAATAACAATATAATCATTTAAATATTTCTGAAAAAAGATCAGATAATTTTGGATTATAATCTGTTTAGATTTTAAAATTGATTAAATAGATCTTTGTAATATTTCTTGTTATGAATATATTTTGGAAATTATGTCAAAAATCTCATATTTTTTCCAAATATTAATTGTATATCTAATTTACCAGTGAAGATAGAGATTTTAACATAAATTATTGCAAATAAGTCATAGTAATAGTCATTTTTTTGCTAGTTGCTATATCATTAGTAAGAGCTGGATTTATATGCATTTAAAATTGCAATATGTTCATACATATGTACCTTAAAATGCCTGATATGTGCATAATGCATTTTAAGTGTCATTAATATATAATTTGTAAGTGCAAATTTTACTAATGTCTGTTATATCACACTTTTATGTTTTTCTTTTATATGGAAGTATACATATAACAATAGGTGACATGAGAAATTAGAAAATTATCTTATCACAAAACATGCATTAGAATAATCTTTCACGTACATGATACACAATGAAGTCACTTATGAATTATGGTTTCAATAAAATTTTATAACTTTCTGTGCTATCTAGTCAATCATTATTGAATTTATTTTTATATATACAATTTCTTACCAGATGTTTGAGCATGACTGGGTTAACCTAGTTTATTTCATCCTGTAGTTACAACACTGGTCTAAAGTAGTTACATACAGGGTTCCTATGAACCTGGGAAGTCAGGAATTTTCATTAGTGTTTGGAAAAAATCAGGAAAAGTCTGAATCTGTCTACTTAGCTGCCTTGTTCATTTCGTTTGTGGAATATGGCTGACCAAGTGTAGCCATCTGCAGGTGGCAAGAAGTAGTGCTGCAACCTTTATTATGAATATAGCAAAATCTATTTTTCTATCAAAACATTTTTAGTATTAGAGGACACCATTAGATGTACAAATCCGTCTTTTATAAAATTTTTGTGTCTTATGTGTATAACTACTTTCCTTATCTGATATCATTGAAACCATCTTCAAGAACACTGAAAAGATTTCTGGGGTGCTTAGTGCTGAACCTTGCACAATTGCTTATAATGAATTTTGTGTGTGTAATAAGTCTTACTTATTGTTCTATTGTATTGTATGAATATATTTTAAAATCATTCAAAATCAGAACTTTAATTAAATCACATCAAATTGTTTAATTTTTTAAAAATTTTGTTTTGATGTTTTGATAGTTAATACAAAGGTTTACTTTTACTGACAGTTGCAGGTCGCTTTTAAAACTAATGTTAATTGTTTATGTGAAGAATTACTATAAAATGCAACACTGAGGATAGCATTGCAAAACTCCAAGGATCAAACAGTTCCTAATATAATATACTGCCAGTTCAATCAGCATTTTTAAATTTTAAACATTTTGACATTTTAAGAACATTTTATCATGAATTTGAGAGAATAATCTTCAATACTCTTGATAATGTTACATGGATTAAAATTTTTCCAAAATATTTTAACCCTTTCTGAATCCCCCCACAATTATTGGTCACACTCTCAATATGATGTAAGGTGTTAATGAATTGATTTTAAAAAATGAGAACAAAGTGTGAAAATTGATAAATAATACCAATAAATTACAAATATTTTTTATTTTAATAATTTTTAGTGTAACAAAACATAATTTTCAAATTTCTCTCTAGTATATTAAAATTTTATAAAATTTATTATGGTATAAATTTATACTTTTGTAATGGACTACAGAATTCATTAACAATCAAAAAATAATGACTTTTTTCACTGTTTGAAGCCATATAATTTTATGGTTGTGGATTAATAACAAGATAAACTACTTTTATGTAATAGTGTTTGCTGAATTATTAAAAATAAAAATTAATTATAAAAAGATGAAATTGTTAAATTAGAATAAAAAACAGCTAATTAAAAATTTGTTTTAAAACTTTTAAAAGTTGAAACAGTAATTTATTAAAATGTTTGTTTCAAAATAGCTAAATAGAGCAGTAAAAATTTATAATTTAATCGTTTTTCATGTTTATAATTTTTTGTTGTATAGTAATGTTTTAAACAGTTACCTGACATTTACAGTAAAAGATATAAAACATTCCTGTTGACTTGTGGTCAGCATTAGCATTTTACATCTGTTATTACGATTTTCCTTGAAAGTACTGTACTGCAAGTGTGTTTCTCTCTTTCTCTCTTCTGTTAATTTCCTGCACGTTAATACATGGTTTAATAATTAGTTCAATAGACATAAAGTTGGGTAACAAATATCACTGACTTTGGCAAATTTAGGACTTAAAAATGGTCAACATTGATCATACCTGTAGTAATACTGTAGTATGTTATAGTTTTAAATATCAACTAGTTAGTGTGATTGATTTTTTTACATGGGCGAAAAATGCTTCATTTGAAAATTTTTAAATTTAACTTTTTGTTAAAATCAGGGCTGCAGTGTCAGTAAAAAAACACTTGATTCCAACTCCTGATAATTTTAGTAGGCCAACTCTGACTCTGGCAAAATTAAATACCAAGTAATTATGGGGGGGCAGAGGCACTCGTAGGAAGTACCCTACTCTGAACTCTGAAAGGAGCCTGGGCATTTACCCAAATACTTTTATAGTTAGTATTTTTAATATTTAACTTACATTAATATTTATTTGTATAAAAAATTAATTTTTAACAAATATTTAATAAGAGGAGAAAGGGGGCGATAAAATTCTACATCTACATATATTTGACAGCATTTGCACTTCAATTTCACACTTTCAGAAGAGTTAGTTCAACTAAAAAGTGTGCAATCTAGCTAGCTACTTCAGCCCCTTGTTCAGAAAAGAAAAATATGTACTCTGATCAATTAGTCTGGTTCATTCAGAAAAATAGAGTACTTATTTAGAGCGGGGATAATAAAGGAATGATTCAAAAATATTCAAATTCAATTGGGACAAAATAATTTAACTACTAAACACAAATACTACAAAGAATACTACATATTTAATAAATTAAATTGATGCATTTTGTATCAGAGAATATTGTTTGTTGATTTTATGCTACCTTGTGTTTACTAGATTTACATTTGAATAATAATGATAAGTGATGATAAAATAAAAAGGCTCATGTTTCATTTGTAAATTGCTTATTTTTTCATTACATTGAAGTTGTGGATCCTATTAAATATTTTTCTACAGGATTTATATACTATACTTTTTGGCACAGTCTTTGGAATGTATCAACTGTGCAAAAAAGAGGGATAGATGTACTCAATGTTCACAGTAAGTAAAATCTGTTTTATTATATCGATATTCCATACTGTAAGAAATGTGAGGGTCAGGGAATTTGGACAAAGTTTGTTAGGGAAAGTCATGGAATTCAAAATAAAAATTTGAGTAGGAACCCTGTATATATTTTTGTTTAGAGCCTTATATAAATGATGAGAACTCAGTTAATGCTCTTTTTAAGTACTTTATTTAACTAATTTAAAACAGGTTTACTGTCAATTTACAGGTTTATAGTAATGTCTCATTTTCAATTAATATCACAAACTCTACTAAAGTTTGTTTCAGTACAGCTAAAACTTACCAGTGATCAATCGGTGTTTTGACTCATTTTTTGATGTCTCATGCTGCACTGATTTAAGGATATTTCAAGATGCATAGATGCTTGAAACCATTTTTTAACAGGAACCAATTTGTGGCATATATTATAGTAAAGAATTTTTCCATCTACTTCAATTAATTGTGTAGGATTCAAACAGCAAAACCTAATACTTTCTTAGCAATTAATTAAGCATTAGTTTTTGCTGTTTTACGCATATTATTGGTTGAACCAAACTTGATATAACACAATCTTTTCTGTGTATGCTTCATATGCAAATGTTTGGCTACTTTACTCACAAGATATACCTTCTGTATATTTACTTAAATATAAATAAACATGATATTTACACAATATTTGAAAGATTTAAATTTAACATTATTAAATTAATATAATAATTACAGTAATTTTAATCAAATTACTTCAATTTGATTAATAAAGATTTTGAGAATTTGAAAAATGGAAGATTTTCATTGCAATGCACAATGTATTCATTTGTGAGACTTAGAAGAATTTCATTTGACCTATGAGAATGCAAGTTAAATGGTTCAAATTTAAAACATTTGGATTTGTGCACTCATCTGTAATTGTATAGTGGAGTGATATTTCTTTTGTGAATAGAATTGTCACCCAGCTGGCATTGGGCCAGTTTGACCGGCAATTTTAAATCAAGACTGACAATTGGCAAAATTATTTAAGTGTTAGCAAAACAGTTTAAACAAAACTATATTTTAATTGAAAAATATTATATAAAATTATTTTAATATTCAGTAAGTTTACTTATAATGATAAAACAACTTTCTCGTTATAATTATGAAAATCTTTGTTATGACTCGCACATGATGCTGCATTACATTAAATTTCCAAATGTGATTTATGCTATTCTAAGTAAATATACTTATTCTAAGTGTACTGCTGTTTTGAGTTTTAAAAATTGATTTTTAAAGATAAGTCAGTCTAGATATTTGTCTGATTCTTCTTTCCTTGGAGAAAATATTCACACAATTGTACATTTATGAAAACTTGGCTCAAATAAATGAATTCAAAAATTGCTCATGATGATATTTGTATAGCTTGTTGCATCATTTGCTGAACATCATTTAGTGTTAAATACAATGGAATTAAAGTATTTACAAGGTATGTCAATTACAAGAAGTGTGAAAAAAGAAGTGTACCTTCTCATTTACTTTTCCCCTCCCCTGGTCATTGCATTGGCCAGCAAAGCCAGTTTCCAAAGGTGGCAACTCTACTTGTAAACTGTGTTTGCAAAAAAGATTTGCTGCACAGATAGCAGAAAAGGATTATAGATAATTTGAAAAAATAGCACTTTTAATTATGCAAACAAACTATAAAGTTTATAAAGCACCTATCTAGTCCCAAAATTGGTCA